CCATGACTTATTGCTAGATGTCAATTTGGGACGACGAATGTGAATTAGTGATAAATTAAAAGGGTGTTTTAATTTATCGATTTTGATTAGATCAAAATAATAATTTACGTCGTTAGGTATCGTGTTCGGAAACCTAATGAGTCACACACAAAAGAGAACCAGAAGAATGAAATTTACCAATTAATTAATTGACAAGTGTTGAATAATTAATTAATTTGATTGCTTATTAATAGACTCGAATTAATTAATTCATAGACCGGATTTAATTAATTTGATTAATTAAATATCGAATCAGGTTAAATTTAGAGATGGGCCAAGCCCATTTGGGCTTATATAAATAGGCTACTAGGGTTTGTAAAATGCAGAAAATTTTCATTATTCTTGCTAGTACAAGAAAAGAAACCCTAGTCGTCATTCTTGTTCTTTGTGTGGATCACCATTGGAGGCTGGACAATTGGACAACTTAAATTGCAGATCGAGATCATTGGAATTCGAGAATCAGCAAACGAGTTTGCAGAATTCATCAAATGTATAATTCTTATTACAGTTTCTATCTAAACACATTGTAGATCCTTGATGGGAATTGAAAATTGTTTTATTTCCGCTGTGCATGATTAAGTAAATTCCCAACATATACTATATAAAACAAGAGTGTTTTCAAAAACTTTACGGCTTGAGGTGCACTCAGAGAAGGCATTCACTAGGAGCTTCAAAGCTTACGCTTTGGGTGCCCTTTTTCAAGGCTTGCACCTTGTACATGCCTCATTCTGTCAGCTTCAGGGTGGCTGAGGAGTGGTTCCATTCAGGGTGGTTATTTATAGACTAAAAATATTTGAAGAGGTTTTTTGGGTTGTTTAAAAAATGCAAGAGCTTAGAGAAGATAACCGGTGAAGGGCTTGCGCATGCCCTGGTCCTATATTTTAAAATTGAAACGTGACTTCCCCAAATGAAGTTGCCACTTTTTTTACGGCAAATGATTGGTGACAGGAGACTTGAAATGAAGCTTTATTCTTTTCTTTCTGTTATATTTTTCTTGTTATCTTTGAATTTTTCCTTATCTTTCTTCTGAGTTTGATTTCCTTATAAAGTTGAAAGTAAACAGAATTCTTATATAATTTATAACTTGTTCTAGTTCAAGATTAG